ATATTGCTGTAGTCCCCTTGTTAATATTTTATTTAATATTTTTGTATTAGTATTCATAAGTGATATTAAATTATAGTTTATTTTTCTCTGTCTCATTCCTCCTGAATTAGGAGAATTTTGGTAATGTTCATTCCTTGTTTTTGCAGTTTGTGTGGCATATGGGCTTTGATACCAAATACCAAATATTTCTGTATTTGTTAGAATTCTTTTATAAGTCCAATAGGCCAGGGCTTTTATGCCTTGCTTCATTTCTTTCTGAGATTATATTTAGATTTTCTGTTTCATTAATTTGGATATTATATTTTTTTGGGAAAATATTCATCCAATCCATTTGTTTTCTTTTTTGTTAGTATATAATTCAGTAAAGCAGTTTCTGATGATTTTCTTTATTTTTTTCTCCATTTGTTGTGAATTCTTTCTCATTTTAATGATTTGGTGAATTTGTTTTTTTTCTGTGGGGGCGTTTGGAATATTACATTTGCTAGTGGCTTGTATATTTTAATGATTAAAAACTGCCCTTAGTTTAATTTTTCAGCTTTTAATATTTTTTCCCCCTTTTTTTCTCCTGTTTTCACCCAAATTTTTAGGGGTTTTGTTTCTGTGCTTACTTTAGGATTATGTCTTCATTTTTACTTTTTCTTTCCAGATATATTCTTAATTTTTTAAAATTTTGTTTTTTAATGTAGATGTTCAGAGATTTTCCTCCCCATAAGTCTACTATTGCTGCATCCCTCAAATTTTGGTGTTTTCTCATTGTCCTTTTTGTTTTTATCATTATATGATTTTTTCTTTTATCTGTTCATTCTTTAAGCTTATTGTTTGTATTTCCTTTATTAATTACAATTTTAATTTCATCATCTATAAAGCATAGTTAATTTTTTCACCTTTCTGCCTTTAGGCACTTGTGTGATCGATTTTATAGAAGTACTGCATGATGTTGAAGATATTTGTGCTTCTTAAAGTTCCTAAGTAGTAATTTCCAAAGACCTGTGTAATTTTTCTAATCTGTACAGATTCTCTTTTGTCATTCTGTTAAATTTGTCTAAATCAGGAAGAAGCAAATCGAAATCTTCAACTATCATTGTATATGCACTATAATTCAGTTTTTCTTTGAAAATAACTATGCCAATTGGTGCATGTGTATATAATATTGATGTTTTGTTAGCTACATACCATTAAGCCTAGTGAAGTTTTCCCATTTGTCTGCTACGTGCATGTGTTTGTCATTGTCTTGTTTGAGATTATGACTATTATTCCTATTTTATTGGATTCATCTGAGGTATAACAAATCCTATTTCAGTAACTCATTTTAACTTTTAATTAATCTTTATGCTTTAATTGTGTTTCCTATATGCAGAAAATGTTGAAGTTTGTTTTTTTACTTGTTTTGCCACTCTCAGTCTTAGGAGCAAGCTATCCTGTTAATATTTATGGTGGTGATGATCATTTATTTTTCCTGTCATTGAATATATGCTAAGATTTTTTCTCTCCTCCCACTTTTGCCCTTTTTTCTTATGTGCCAGTTCATTTTCATCACAGTGGTGAACATACCTTTGGCGAGTACACATTTCTGTTTTATGCCTCATTTTGACTTTTTTGTTAGTAGAGGGCTTATTTCTTGTGTTAAATCTTCCAAGGAATAACGAATGATTTTGATATGTGGGTGGAAGACACTTTGTTGTTGCCTGTAAGAGTGTTTTGTTCATAGTTTTATACAGTTTTGCCCTCGTTTTTATAAAATAATTAACAAACTGTAGCTGCAGTCAGTCTTATAATCTTTACCTCTTTCATTTAAGGATGCCTTCTCATAAAAATTTTGTGTAGATGGGAAAGTATGCATATGCTTTGTTATGTTCTCTTTGTCACCTCTTTTCGTTATTAATAAGGTCTATGACTTTTTCCACAGCTTTAATATTTTGTCTTTTAGATAATTTATATCAGTCCTTTAACGCCCTCACAGTTTTTGGTTCCAGCATGGAGCTTCTTTGTATGCATTTGGTACAGTCTTGCTGCTGTTCCTGTTTTTGATCTCTTTAGTTCCATTTCCACTAGGACTGGTGTTAGGGTCCAGCCGGGGTGATTTCACTGTGCGTTGTGCCTGGACTTTTTTCTATAGCAGTGGCCTGTGGATTCCATTGAACTGCACTTTGCCTTCTGTTTCCAATATTTGTCAATTTTGTTTTGTGATTTAAAAAAAAATGATATTCATGCTTACTTGCTTCATCATGTCTTTTGGGGCTTGATGATTCTTGGCCTGTCTCTCCATATCTTGTTTCCTGGATCAGTTGTTTTTGAAAATAAATAGCTCATTGACTCTTCAGTTTTTCTGAGTTTTTGCTTTGCTGTAGCATGTCTTTTTTTTTTGTGAGGCAGTTGGGGTTAAGTGACTGGCCCACAGTCACACTAGTGAGTGTTATGTTCTGAGGCCGCATTTGAACTCGGGTCCTCCTGACTCCAGGGCCAGTGCTCTATCCGCTGCACCTCCTAGCTGCCCCCATAACATATCTTTTTGTATCATTTAGTTTTTGAGTTCCATTTCCCTCTTCCTTATTTTTTTTTTTTGGTCCTCCAGGGTACCTACTCTTTTGCTAAGTTTTTCCAAATTCTATTGTCATGTTTTCTTCTTGTGATTTTCATTAATAGCTTGAACTTTATTTCTCTCTCTTTTTGGTTCTCTTAGTAGAACTGCCAGTTACTCTGAAAGTTTCAGTGGTCATTATATTTTCCTTTCTTTGGTTCTGATTATAGTTATTCTTGAATCAGCCTCTTCTTCCCTACTTTTATCCCTATAATGTTTGTTCATTGTATTTGGGGTGGTGTGGTGTATAGAGCCTTGTTGCTGGGGTAAAGAAGACCTGAGTTCAAATCCCTTCTCAAAAACTAGCTGTGTAATCTTTGGCAAGTCACTTAACTTACATTTGCTTCAGTTTCCTTATTTATAAAATGAGGGTAATAATAGCACATATTTCCCAGAGTGGCTGTGAGAATCAAAAGAAAATATTTGTAAAGTGCTTTGCAAACCTTAAAGTACTACATAAATGCCAGTTGTCGTTATTGCTTGTTAATATCTCTTTGCTGCCTTTTCTTACCCCCTATGGCATCTTAGCTCCTCAATTTCTGCCTCTTGAGGGACAGAATCTGATTGGTTTGTTGCTGAGAGGAGGCTCCTCTAGATTTACGCTACATTTTGGGGTGGCTTTTGGTGGGAATTTACCTCAACCAGCTGTCTGTTTCTGTAGCTGTTGAGGCTACCATCAGTATTTGGATTGGGGTCCAAAATAAGGTGAGGGCTAGAGCACAGGACTGAAAGAAGTTGAGATATGCAAAAAAAAAAATTCCCTAATAGACAAATAATCACCCTTAATCCAGTATAGCCCCTTTCTGCATCTGTTGTAATGGTGACAGAGTGGTGAAAAGGGGGACAGGGAATCATGATTTTTGGACCTTTTCTGATCATGTAAACAAAATAAAACCCTTATAAACATTAATTTTTCTATTCTACGTGAGATCTTTTTCAAGTAATAGTGAATTGTCATCCTTCTGGAGGAGCTGAATCATATCAGTTTTGATATCTTCTTATAAATGAAACCAGAAGACAAGAAGAAGTTACAGCTAAATGAAAGGATGGATCACAGGTTCTTTTTGAAGAGGCAAATAAAGAATATGGCAGATTTGTACAGATGATTAGGTGTGTTCAAAGGTGACAGGAAGCATTTCTCATAAGTCCCTTGGTAATCTTAGGTTGAAATACTCATGATAAAACACTACCATGAAGATCACTATATCTTATTCACCAGCATAGGTAATGTAGTATGAAGAGGAATGAAAGTTTAATGAAGGATAACATAAAATACTTCAAATTAAATCAATTTATACTTTAGTACTTAGTGATTTCAATGATAAGGTAGGTATGTAGGGGAAAATAATGAAAAATACAGTTTAGGAATGAGAAATGGGAAATGCCAAAGGTTTCTAGAACATTTAGAAATCTCATATGTCATCTATACTCTTTTTAGAGAAGAGGTTTAGGAGAGGCAGGACATAAATATTAAATAAAATAATAAAAAAATGAAATTGATTATTTTAACAGATAAGAAAATATGCATATGGAAATCATTTATAAGTCAGTTGTCTATATTAGTGGTTCTCAAACTTTTTGGCCTTAAGACCCCTTTATACTCTTGAAAATTATTGAGGATTCCTCCAGAGCTTTTGTTTATGTGGTTTCTAGCAATATTTACTGTATTAGGAATGAAAGCATCTTAGTATTGTTATGAAAGTAGTTTTGACTGTGTGGATTTGCTGAGAGAGTCTCAGGAACCCTATGGGTTCCTAAACCACACACTGCAAAAATCTAGCAAAGATAAAAAAGCAGTAACAAAATGAGAGGGAAGGGTGGAGAGTGTGTAATTAAAACCACTCCAACCTGATGCATTAAAATATGTAATTTGTTTGTGGCACTTTTTAGAAAGTGGAAAATGGATGAAAGAACAGATATCATTTTTGACTCTTACCATGTAAATAAATCACCATAACGAAAGGGGCTTAAGAATTGCCTGAGCCAGTGAACATATAATCACTTTTCTAAGCAGAGTGATATGACAGAGGTAACAGCTTGTTTATAAAGTCTAATAGAAGAAAATTGTGGAAGATGGTGGGCAACACTACTTCAAAAACAGTAGAAGGAATTTGAGATTATGGAAAGCTTGATGAAACACCCAATTAGATTAGTTTTTCCAAGAGTTTTAATGTTGACATTGAAGGAGGATAACATCCTGTTGAAAAATGGATAGATTTGTCAGGATTTCTGTGATAAATTCTTCTCTCCAAAAATGAACTATCCTGTAATAGCTGAATAAGCTTCAACTATTCAAGATTCAAGATTCAACTAAGATTCAGTAAGATTTAATTGAATAAGATTCAGCTAAAAATTAATTGAAACAAGTGACAGGATTTAAAATAAACCTACAAAAATAACCAGCCTTGTTGTATATTAACAGTGAAACCCAGGAAGAAAAGATAGAAGAAGAAATTCCATTGAAAATAACAAAATGTCATTATCTAAGAGTCTACATTCAGGTAATACTCAGAAATGATTTGAATAAAACTATAAAACACTATAGAAATAAAGGAAGAGGAGTAATGGAGACATATTTAATTCTTCATGTTTATGTTGTGTTAATATAATAAAAATGTCAAATTTTATAAAACTAGATAAAATATAACAAAATTAACCCAAGAGGAACAAAGTCAAGAATCTCAAAAGAAATAATGAGGAGGGAAAAAAGGTAAGAAGGGAAGGGGCTTAGGAATTTCAGATCTCAAACTGTACAATAAAGTAGTAATCATCAAAATAATTTAATACTGGTTAAAAAGAAAAAACCCAAACGATTTTTAGAACATGTTAGGTAGGCAAGACCCAGAAACAATTAAACAAATGATTAGTATGCAGTAAAGATAATAAGGACATCAACAACTGGAGTAAGACCACCTGTGTAACAAAAACTGAAAAGCATCCTGGTAGAAATTATGTTTAGAGCAATACCTAATACTGTATACCACTGTAAGTTTCAGATTATGTAAATATGAAAGATCATATAAATTTAAGGCAGGTAACCAGTTAATAGGCTATTGACATAATCTAGGTGGAAGGTGATAAAATCCTGAAAGGAAGATTGTGGCTATGAGGATACAGAGAAGCTATTGGAGGCAAAAGGGTGGGGGTGGGGTGTAGAAAGAGCAAGATTTAGCAACTGACTGGATTTATAGGGTAAGAGAGTATAAGTAGTCAAGAATGGGACCAGAAGAATGATGGTGGTTTTGACAGAAATAGGGAAGTTTGAAAGCAGGATGGATTTTGGTGTAAAATAGAGTTCTGTTTTGGACATATTGAATTTGATATGTTTCTTGGACATCCAATTTGAAATATCCAATAGGCAGTTGGCATTGTGGGACTGGAACTCGGTAGAGAGACTGGAGCTGAATCTATAAAGCTACATGTTATTTGAATAGCGATGATGATTGGAATCTGCTGAATGGGATGGAATCTGATAAAGTTATGAAGATAAGAGGGCCCGAGAGAATCATAGCCACGATTCAAAAGGATTCATCCTTACTGTCTTATATAGGAAAATCAGGTGGATGAAGAATATCTGTTGTCGTATGCAGTTGGATGGACAACTACTAGATCTGTTTCCGTTAGTGCATATCTCCTGGACTAACACTTTTGATGAACAGTGAACTAGGTCTAAAGGTGAATAAGAAAGGAAGAGAGAAGCAGACTTTGGAAATAGCTGTCAGAATTATAATATGCATATGTAATATTTCAATAGGTACATTGATGGCTTAACGGAGAAACTGTGAATATCCCACAAACTTAAATTCTGGATTCTTATGCCAAAATAAAAAAAAATAAATTTCAAATAACCTTTGCTTGCTAAATGATAGAAGAATTAGATTTATTTTGCATGGCATTAAAGGGCAGGAATAGGACCAGCATATACAACTTTAGGTTGGCAGATCCATCTTCAATATAAGAAAGAGCTTCACAACAATATTAGCAATCCAAAACTGGAATGAGCAGTCTTGATAAGATAGTAAATTCATTGTCAGTAGAGAAGCATTCAGAATCATAGGATTGCACAATTGGAAGTGACCTCAGAGGCTGTCCAATCACTGTCCAAATAAGAATCCTTTCAGCTTCATCCCACAGTGTTCATCCTGCCTTTTCTTGAAGACCTCCAATAAAAGGAAACCTATAACCTGCCAAACAACACATTGCACTTGAATAGTTCTAATTTTTAGGAATCTTTTTCTTAGTCCTAGACTAAATCTGCTTTATTTACTTCTTAACTTCCATCCATTGTTCCCAGTTCTATCCTTTGAGACTAGGCAGAACAAATCCAATCCTTCTTTCAATGGCAGCCCTCTACACACTTGCAGACAGCTGTGCTATCTTCTCTTCGGGTTAAATCCCTATTTCCTTCGACCAGTTCTCATATGGCAAAAGTTCTAAGCCCTTTCACTATCCTGGTTGCTGTCCTCTTAGATATTCCATCCCAGGCCAAAAACCTGGTCTCCCTTATTTTAAGTTGTAGTCCAAAATACAAATGCCATCCTTAGATAGCTTATTAACCAGCTGTTTATTTCCCAAGTTGTCTTCTCCCTTCTTAAACCTTTCACTTGACTTCACAGCAGAGTTGAAAACAACCTCTGTCCCTTGGACCTTCATTTTCTTGTTCAAGATTTGGTAATACTTAGTAATGCTTTCTAGCATCTTTCTGGTAGTATGGTCTGTGCCCATGCACATCATCAGAAGTAGGTAGTAGTTATCAAATTTGAGAAATCTTTGGAGCATCATTGTTGCATCTCACATATGTGTCTGAAGAAGAAAACAAACCTGTCTATTGTTAATGTGTTTAGTGTGGTCAACTGGTTAACCACTTTTTCAGGGATGTTGAAGAGTTAATTCACACTTGAGGGAATGGATTAGATGACTTTTCAGGTTCCTATTCATTCTCTATTATTTTGATTTCATTATTTGTATCTTCTGCTAATTTCAGAATAAACACATTCCTGGAGGAGAAAGTATTTAGAGCCTGCTTGACTATCACTGTTTCCTTAAGTACAAACTCCAGAATTTCTTTTTCTTTGTTTTTTAATCAGAACTAGTTTCTCTCTTATCAGCACAGGGAATAAGCTTTTACTAGGATGTCAGAACTAGTCTGATGAAGGTGGAGTGTGTTCCTTTGAATATTAGCAATTTTGGAATAACAGACTCTTATGTTGTTTCAGTTAGTAGCTTATGTTCACCTCTAAGGTTCTTCTGTTACTATTTAACAGCTTTACATTTTGAGGGAAATAGGTTCAACAGAAAGATAATTTAGTTGAAACCAGGAAGTAGCTGTGTTAGTATTTGAAACTGAAATATTTGCAAGTAGAATACAGACCTTGCTTTTATGAAAAGATTAATCTTTCTTTTGCGAGCTTTATAGAAATATAGATAAAGGCAAGAGGATTAGAAACTGAAGAAATTATATGAAGCAGGCCTCCTAATCTGTATGAGGACCAACTGAACAAAGGCTATACTGACTTCTCATCAGGAATTGAGATCTAAAAAAGCTTCTTAAGTCATTGCCTTTTACTGAATGTTGAGGCCCTTACAGAAAACATGGAGCCATAGCTGCCTTTCTAATAGAATCATCCATCATTGTTGACTGCTTGTAGGAAAAAAAAATCTCAAGTTGTCCCTCATAGGTGGCTGATAACACTATGGTGTTAGAAGCCAAGTGGCATCGGTGCCCTGAATATTACAATAGTATGCCATTGAGTGGACCTTTTCTCTTGGTCACTGCTTACTGATAATCATGCAGTCTTTATAGTACTGGGACATAGCTTTTTCTTTTTGTCAGTCTCCAAACAATATAGGGTATTTCCCCCATTTTCATTCTTTTCAGATAAAATTCAACTGTTATGGTTCTAACAAAGCATAATGAAAGTTTTGCTTTTTAGTGGTCCGTTTTTACATGTATGCTGCTGCTCTATTGTGTTGTTTGGCATAAAACAGTCCAGTTGTAACCCTGCAGCAATTATTAAACCAGTCTGTTGCATGTGGACAAGGGACAGCTCTGGTTCTGATGCAGTTTGAGTGTACTGTGAAGTAATTGGGCTTTTTGAGTACATGATAAAATAGCGCACTTTAATGTCAGTACATTAAAAAATTAAAATCTGCTCATTTTCGAGTGACTCAGCCAGCCAATTGCTTAGGAAATTGCTCTTAGTCCTGGTATTATTGCACAATTCTGTCCACAGTTTGGCTTGAACTGAATATGCCTCTGGGATTTCAGAGGACTGTGTACATTCAGAATAAGTGTTTTTGTTTTGGCCACACTGGACAATTAAATACATACATATTAATAAGATGATTATAGCAGACTGTTTGGTGTAATAGGTTTTCTAGGTCTTTGGCAAATTTTGAAGAAAAAAAAAGTTTGGAGAAATAAGATCTTATCTCTGCAATAAAAATCAAACCTAATTCATAGCATGACTCAGAATCAGAAAACTTAGGTTCAATATTGGGTTTGTTACCAACTAATGTGATCTTAAGCAGATCACAGGAGGTTTCTGGACCTTAGTTTATTCATGCCAGAAATGTTAATAGCCTGATGTTCTTTTCACTTCTGAAAATCTGTGAGACTATGTATATTTAGTTGTGGTCTTACTTCTGAAATATAATTTGCTTAACTTTGTATTTGTATAGCCTAAAAAATACCAGCTTCCTTCCCTCACTCCCATTTTATAGCTTCTTTTGTAGCCTTACAGTGCTTTTGGAACAGGGCCTAGGACATATTGATGAATTAACATGAATAAGTTGTTATTATTTTCAAGTGACTGATGGGATTATGTAGCTGGAATGTTTCAATTTGAATGTATGTTACACAGACCAAAATAGAATCTACTTTAAGGGTACACTTCTAAGAGAAGGCAATAAATTCATTAAAGGTTATGGAGTCTTCTATTATTATCTTTTTACTTGGCTTATTTTTGGGGGAAAAAAAGAGGAAATTGGGAGTAATTGTGGGACCTTTATCCAGGTTAGTTAACCTCTCTAAGCTTTAGTTTCCTTTATCTATAAAACAAAGGAGCTGGATTAAATGATCCCCAAGGTCTCTTTTAGCCCTAAGATTATATGATTCTCTCTGAAGTATTACATATAACTTTGGACAGCATGACTTTTTTGACTCCCAATAAATTTGGTTTAGTATAATGGCATTTTATTGTGGTAGTGTCTAAGTAATTGTTTCTTTTTCAGTCTTTCAGTAGATTTGGTGCCACTGGGCTGTGGAAATACGAAAGGTTCAGGTTATTTTCAGTAATGCTCTTATTTCTGTTAACTCTTTAAAGTTTCTAAATTTAAAATGTTATGTGATTTCTAACCAGCAGCTATTTTTTTTCCTGAATCTATTTTTTCACCTGTAAAAGAGGTGGCAGCATTGGAAATTCTGTATGGTTGAAGACTAGAGGATCGAACCATTATTATTCCATCTTTCATAAACCATAGTGCAGAAACAGTGTGGTAT